GGAGTATTTACATAGATACTTACTTATCGTAGATGGGGGTCGTACAGTTCTTGGAGAAGGTGCTAAAGGCTGTGTCTAATTAAAACAATTGTAATCCATAATTATTATCCGTTTTTCGTAATTGTGATTGGAAGAATCAATGAATGGGTAAGCTGGAGTCGCGCATTATAAAAATCGGACACTTTACTCTGTGACAAGATGTCGGTATGTAGGCGCGCAATAGATTATGGGAGCAAATTTAGGTCTTTGTTTCCGAGAAGACTCCGGAAAAATGATCATAAGAGCCGATCTATTTATGACTATTTCCATCAAGCGCCGACAATGGTAGGTTTTTTGGACTGCCTGTGCAGTTGAGAGCAAACGAGATGTGTCGTTTTTTTTTAGAGCGTGATGATTGAGTATGCAAGTCTGTTAGATAATCACTTGATTGAAAGAAGTCTTCATATGATCCGGGGTGGCGCAGACAGTGATTGCAAGGCCGGATTGCCGCAACCCCCGCCCCAGGTCGTCTATTAAATATCTCTATACTATTGATTCCAATGCACATTACTGCCCTGTTCTACTTTAAAAAGGCTGTTTTGCCCCTAATTTGCTAATGATTATATAATAGCAATGCAATGTTTAATGACTGCTTGCCTGGATTGTTAAACGATTGGATGTCTCGATGATTCAATGATTGTTTACCCGTACTGTTTAATGATTGGTTAGCTTGATTTTTCTCGTAATTTTAGTAATGTCTGCAGGTAAATGTTTATGTGTTGTGACATTTAAGTGATATCAGCTGGGAAATCTTTTCTGTGCATTTTTTGCAATGTCTGCCTGAYAACTTTGTTATGTTAATTAGTCTTGTACCTTTCGACTAGGAACAGGAGGTCCTGTTGGTACCTAGAAAGAAAAACAAATGATTCAATGGCAAAACTGCTACGCAATAAAAGCGTTTGTTATGAAACCTTGTTACAGAGAAAAAGAACGATTTGAAAATGTCATTAAAAGACGAAACAATGCGTTCAGCGTCGGAGTGCTCTTCCTTTCTCCTTTTTAAGTATTCCTTTGGTACAAAAGTGAGAATCTTTTGCAATTAGATGTATCATATAATTGTATCATGTTAAAGGGACACTGTCAATGGATGACATGCGCAGTAACAGTCTCACCTCTAACGGACTTTGAAAGTATAACCTTCGAGGTAAATCATTTTGGAATATTCTAGATCTGTTTACGTTTACGATCTGATTTATGTCGCGCTAACTTGGAGTCATAAACTTGAAAACACTAGCCTAGTGTTTTCAAGTTTACTCGCGCATGTCATCCATTAACAGTGTCCCTTTAAGTTATATTTTCGATAAGGATAGTGATAATTAGTGCATTAAAGATCCACGTACTCCCGACAACCTTTGCGCGATTTTCTCACATTCAAAAAAAAATGCCCATTTTCCCTTTTGGACCAATCAGAAAGTAGTTTTCTAAAGTAATTTCTAAAGCAAAACATAAGATCGTAGAGATTCTTTGATCTAAATAGGCCTTTAAATTGTTTAGAATCACATGACTAGGCTAGGTTACCTTTTCTTTTGTTTGTGGTGGTGGCGATGGCTTATAATCTGCATTGGAAAATATCATTGTTAGACATTGGGCTAATTCATTGGTCGCATTGGTTTGATTCTTATATGGCTATTAGCTTTTCCGAGAATATTCAAAAAGGGACTGGTGCCTAGTCACAAGCTAGATATAGTTTGAAGCAATCAAGAAACAAATTTTAAAAGATCTTTGTTGGTTGTATTTTTCATATTTATACGTAGTTTGTTTAATCAACCATGAATTATTTAAACTTCTTTCCAAGCTTTCGACCTAAGCGGTCATCTTCAGGGAACACAAAGACGTTACAAAAACAAAAACGCCTTCAAACTGAAATGAAACTACTTTTGCGCGCGCAATAAAGACAATGCGCGCGCTGTCACAATTGAATTCAAGAAAGATGAGAATAATAATTAATTATTTAGCAAGCACAAATAGTTTCCAGGCAGTGTTCGACCTTTGTCCCTATTGAACAATATGTTCTTTCCCTTGGCAATTTGACAGGCCTCCAGCCACTTCCTTTGTTGTGACTTTGTTTCTGTTGCTACTACTGAAGTAGCGGCCCAGTCGATCGAGTGGCCAGTGTTGTTGGCATGTTCAGCAAGCGCAGACTTCTTCGCATTGAGGTGTCTTACAGCCGAGATGTGCTCATTTCTCCTTGTCTTTAAAGAACGGCCCGTTTCACCGATGTACTTGACATCGCATTCTCCACAAGGAATCGAATACACTATACCAGCCTTCTTGTCCGCCACAACCCTGTCCTTAGGATGTGAGAGGACATGTCTTATTATTATTATTATTATTATTATTATTCTCATCTTTCTTGAATTCAATTGTAACAGCGCGCGCATTGTCTTTATTGCGCGCGCAAAAGTAGTTTCATTTCAGTTTGAATGCGTTTTTGTTTTTGTAACGTCTTTGTRWTTCCCTGAAGATGACCGCTTAGGTCGAAAGCTTGGAAAGAAGTTTAAATAATTCATGGTTGATTAAACAAACTACGTATAAATAAGAAACAAATTCCACGACAAAAAAGAGAATACTAAAACCAGTATAACTTACTTTTGAGCTTATTTGAATGAATAATTTCCGAATTGTAAGAGTTTTAATACTCGAGGCAAAATATAAAAAWATGTATGGAGCTTAGAGCAACTTCCCAAATAACATACATTTTCTTTTATTTTTGCAAATTTTACTCGAAAAACTCGAAATTTAAGCTAATTTTAGTATAGACTTTGATGATGGGAGGTTTAGTTTTTGTTAATCATTCCCAGTCCATTTCTGAATTCTGAATTCCGGAAAGACCAATTATGTTCACGCTTATCTGATATGTGTTTATCAGCAGATAAAATGAGTATTTACCATCAAAAATGGACTACCCAAAATAACTTTCGGTCGTGCAATTGCAGTTCACTCTAACAATTGTCTTTAAAGTAGCTATTAAGGTTTGAAGCTATTATAGTAAACGCACTTGTACCGTGAAAAATAAGATCAAATATAATCAAAATAAACAGTAACTATTAGTGTCTACTAACTGACTTTTGTTTTCATGGCCATAGTCTCTCCTTCACGGTTMMSTGCGCCATCTTGAAAGGTAGCCGTGCCTTTGCATCGAAGCGAGACAACCGTTGAGCGTGCAATGATAGAAACCCTATTTCACACCTACAGGCAATTATTCACAGGTATCTATCATTGCACGCTCAACGGTCGTCTCGCTTCAATGTAAAGGCACGGCTAYCTTTCAAGATKGCGTACTTAACCGTGAAGGACTATTGTTCAGTGATATCTACTATTAGATACACGTAGTCAGTAAATAAAAATTAAAAAAATTAACAGAAGTTACTACCGTTCTTTGATTATGTTTCACGGTACAAGTGCGTTAGACTGATTCCATAAGTAGTAGTATTCTCTCCTCGATTTTTCGGTTGAGTGACAAAAAAATTTCAACAGAGAGGGAACTGGTACCAACTTATGGAATCAGTCTACAAGTGTGTTCTTGACTCTATCGCTCAACTTGCTAGCTATAATTCCTATATAATTACTAACTATTGTGATATGTTCAATAAGAATTACTTTTTATAAGAAAGTGCATATTAATTTAAGTTTCTGTGCCTATTTCTCTATATCCTTGTTATGATAAAGGCTGGGAAACCAAGCGACTTTTTAGTTTCGCCGGGAGAGATTGGAGCGAGCTCGCACCAGTCTCCCCTGGGTTATCACCCAATTTATTCCCTCCTCCCCCCTACCCTAAGGATGAATTTCGATGTGCTTCTATATATCATAAGTTTAAGTGAGAATTAAGTGCAAAAAAAGAGAAGAAAAATACCGTTTCTGCTGTTTAGCGAGACACTGATGGACCGTGCTTCAGGGTACATTTGAGAGACAGGTAGATTAGACGGGATCTGATAGTGTGAAGAAGCTGTCTGTTTGCCTTAAAATGAATGGAAAATGGCCTTTTAATATTTACTCATAAGTAGACTTCATAATCTCTTTCTAAGAAAATGCGGACAGAGTTTTCAGTAGCAACAGTTTCCTGCGCCCCATTGAAAGATTACCGTACCTTTCCAGGGATGTGAGAGAACCAGTGAGGTTGCAGTGAAAGGAACCATTTGCACCAATCATTACAAGCTTACCGGTGAGAAGGGGGGTGGGGAGGGGGAGGTGAGACAAAGAGGGGCAGAAATTGCAAGCACAGAATTCTTCAGGGTTTTTTTTAATCKGATTTGTTTTAACAGGAAACCAAATAATCAAGAAGGWCAGCAAATTGATCGTTTWCACCAATTCCCATRAGATTCAAAAGATAAAAGACCAACGGCCGCTGTGACGTAACTTGAAAACGAAGAATAGCAATTTTTCGGCTCATTAAAATTAAATTTATCCTTACATTTACTATATGTGAACCTCTTTAGGGAAAAAAATAATGTCAGTCATATAAGCTGGTTTTGAGTTATTGCCATATGCTCTCTTCARTGTTAGAGCATGCTGGKAGGYRTCGAAGAGWKYACTGATCAAAGAATCGTATCAWCRATCGTGCGGGATCCCTGTGCATTTTTSTTTTGGGCTTCCCTTAGCAAATCAATGCCATATATGGAWAGAGTAAAAAATGCCCGATTGTTCAAAGGCCAAACTTTCCTGAAGCACTTTTTTGATATGAATCACAAATCGCATCAMATTTTTCTTTMGTCTCCAATAATAGAGAAAGAAAATAAAATGCATAGTATTTGGTCAGGATACGCCCTTTTGTTCGCAATTCTTATTAGTGTAACAATGCATTTATGAATACTTTTGAAAATCTCAATATATATGCGTATAGATATCTCATTTTTGCAATTGGCTGTATGGATAAGTGACGAAATTGATCGTTTTCACCCATTCCCATGAGATTCAAAAGATAAAAGACCGGCGGCCATGTTGGAGGAATGAACAATTGATACTAATAAGAAATCCTTTGTTAAAGTTCCTCCAAGATGGCCGCTGTGACGTAACTTGAAAACGAAGAATAGTTTTGTCTTTAATATGATTTTTTGAAATCAAAGAAAAAAAAAGTTGAAAAATGCAACTTACTGTTCCAGAAACTTCCTGATAGTTTTCTTTATAATTGTCTTTTACATGAAAATTCATAAAGAAACTGGTGCCGAGTAAGAATCTCGATGCCATTAGAAACAATCGAGCTAGAGCTTACTAAAGTACGTTCACGGAATTTGAGCGTATCTTGACGAAAAAATGGACGGCAAGCGTTGAAAACTTGAAAAATAACAAATTAAAAATGGATGGGACGTTGGAGCAGTGTTCCCAAAAACCATTCATTAATTTTTGGAAATTTCAAAGTATGTCACTCGTTGGGTATTCCACCCAATGGAGTCAAAGCTGAAAATAACACTAATTGTAATAARGTCTTATATTTAACAGGGTTTAGTTTCAAATACGTGGAGTATGTTTTAYTTGTTTCCAGACCCCAAGGAAAGTCCACTTACAACAAAATTTAKAGTAGAGTCTGTCGTAAAACTTCAATATATGGACGTCCATATGCATTGCTATGATGTACACATAGAAGGTTCTCATGTCTCCWTTGATGGTTCGTTAATTATATATTCAATCTTATGTACATATACAGCCTTTTGCAAAAATTATGAGAATTGTCTAAATATCTAAATATCATAATATCCATATCCATATATTGTCCAGAACACGCGGGTTTGCTAGAATAATTCATTGTTGACATCGAGAAAATGTTCAGAACTACGGATAAGTACGTCACCGCCGAAAAAAATTAAACTACAAAGACAAAGGACAAACGAGAATCGCGTGGGATTACCCATCATGCAATTGATATTATGATATTTAGATATTTCGACAATTTTCATAATTTTTGCAAAAGGCTGTACTTGTTATTCGTACATGCCGTTGCATAAATATCACAAAAGTTCAGGTTAAATAAACGAATTGATCTCATGGTTTAATGGTTGGGTTTAGGGAGAATTTAGGGCTAGGGAATGCATAGCGCTGGTTCGAATCTTAATGCATGTCCTAAATGTGAGTTCTTCTTCACCTACTAGGACATGAGAGTATTCTATGTGTACATCAGTACCGTGTACATGCACAACCATATATGAAGGTCGAACGACAAATCCCATAATATATAATCAACAATAATGCCCAATGCTTTACCTCTTGGAGTTAATTCCTGTTCGTTCATGTAAAAGCTTTCTGAATCATTCTCRGCATCAGCAGGTTCAGTACTTTGAAAATCCACATATTTATCGTATTGTTCGTCTCCACATTCCATATCCGCATATATCTCATCACTTTCGGGCTCCATTCGGCCCGACTGATCTGCACCCGACTCCATGTCGGTATAGATTTCTTCGGAAATAAATTGACTTCGGGTTGTGTCCGAATAACCATCGTCAATTCCCGATTGCATATCAGTATAGATTTCTTGGGACTCGGGAAACGCTCGKTTGGTCATTATATAGCCTTCTGGATCTACGTCGGGATCTGTTTGATAAACATAATGGAGTGAGCAGTGAGAGACTTGAGGGGGGTGGGGACTTCGTGGTAAAAGTACCGAGGATGCTGGTCCGATCTCTTAGTGGTAAAAATTCGTGAGTTGGAAGACTGTCGAATTGGAATCTTTTAGGGTGACATTTTGGAGTTTCTGTATATTTCCATTTTCTCAGTCTTAGGGTGCGGGAAAAGAAGAGAAAGAGCGCATGGGTATTGATTTTCCAAATCTACGTTTCTTCAATTAAATCTCCTCGGCTTCGGGTACAATATACCTAATCGGGTTCAACCCAATTCAAACCACCCGGGAGTAAGTTTCATTGTTCGTTGCATTTTCATTTCACAGTTCAATTCTTAGAAACAAAAGTTCTTTTTCCCACAGGATTTGGATTGGGTGACAACGTACATAGCAACGCCGTTAGCCAAATAGGTCTATTAATCCCTAATATCCCTCAGTGCCATGGTATTACTTATAATTGTATGGTAGTGACTTTATACCAGTTATAGAGGTATGTTTGGAGTACTCAGTGAGAGCTCTCCGAGTGCTAGCATTACATGCATTTCGTTGTCGTTTTGAACGCACAAATCGAATTTTTTGGCGAAGCGCGGTGGAACACACGAAATGCACAGCGGTTACACGTTTCAATCCCAACTTTTGTAGAACTTTTGTTTCTAAGAATTCAACTGTGAAATGAAATGCAACGACTGACAATGAAACTTACTCCCGGGTGGTTTGAATTGGGTTGAACCCKATTAGGTATATTGTACCCGAAGCCAAGGAGATTTAATTGAAGAAACGTAGACTTGGAAAATCAATGAATTTCTGGGAGATGTCACACTAACTAACAATGACACACTAAGCGATTTTGTACGCGAATTTCAATCGCTTGTAGGAGCGTAAATAATCGCCTAGTCGGCAATATATTCAGACACGTAGCTAGGGAAAGTGTGAATTTTTAGCGGACAAGAAAACGTTTGAGGACTACTCCCATCATGCTTTGCTGCAAAATAGCATTGCTTAACGTTGCGTATTTGAGAATATCATGACTTATGGATGGGACGAAAAAAAAATCGTCAAGACTCTCTCGTCAGATCATAGGAGGCGAGATTGCATTATCAAGAAGGATACCTTGATAATTCTACTAATTATTAAGTAGAATTAACAGTAAACACACCATAACAACTGTTATGACCTTTGTGACAAAGAAGAATCTATTTGACACAACTCCGCCATTATCGTAAATGAACAAGCACTAGCCGCGCGGGGATTGGCAAAAAGCTCAAAATAGTTTGTTTCTAAAACTAGCACACGAAAGGCTCCTGATTGGTTCCCGGGGTCTCATTCTCTCTTGATACCTGACGGCCGCTGATCTCTACTATGTTGCCACAGATTAAGGTTGATAACTCGCTGGCATGCATCGGTGTAGTAAGGGTCCTCGTTATTTTCATTCATTTGTTCATAGATCTCTTCGCCGTTGTTCTGAAGGTGAAAAACATTTTAAGTTATACTTAGGAGATAATTTTTATCATATATTTATTTATGAAATATCTACATTTCTCCTCTTTCAAAAAAGTTGTTATTTTTACTAGGGAAAATATTATTATTATTAAAGTAACACGCTTGGAGATACGAATTTTATCTCTTGAAAATCTCTCACTCGTTCGCTACACTCACTCGTGACTCGAGAAACACGAAAATAAAATCCCTACCTCCGCGCGCCCATGTAATTTCCTCCATTTTGCCGCGTGTTACTGTGTGGSAATATTAGTATTTCTGTTTTAAGATTTGTGTCGTTTCAATCGCCAAAGTTTCCTTGTATTGTTATTGTCTAAAGGAACTTGAACAATGCTATAACTCTTTTGGCGATTAACGTTATCTGGACGATTATACGGACACTGCAGTCCTTAGAAGTCCCGGAAAATAGATTTACTAAAATATAGATTTAACTGGCTGGATCTCCTTTGTAACGCAAATACAATGATTTTGGACAGAAACCAATTGTTAAAATAAAAATCAAAAAACAAGKTCAAAAAATGAGGYTACAAGTGCTCCCCTACACCTATAGGCTTTTTCTGAAATAGCATAGCGCATTGCATTGTGGTCTATATTCGGTACGAGCATCTTTTTTCCTCATTTGGGCTTCCTTTGTAACGGTTATCTTGGCCGCTAGGGACTAATGACGAGAAACAAAAATAAAAAGATAGGAAGCCGGTGATTCCTAGTGATGCCTGCGGAGGAGGCTATTTTGTGGCCAAATATGGTGTTCTTTGCACTGAAGCTAGACCACATTGCAACATGATTTCGTATTCCAAAAAATGTCTATGCTACGTTTGTAGTATTGTCCTTGACTTACCTCAGCTTCAACTAATAATTSATATATGTTGATATACTGTCCTTCGTATGCCAGTTCACTGGGACGTTTGTCCCTACAATTATTTAATCCGATTGCCTCAAAGAAACCAGAGCAGTGAATAAGGCAATCCTTCACGAAATGATACARGCCAAATGCCGCAGCAAAATGCAGTAAYGTTGGATACAAGGAATTACTGGCATCTAACAATAAAAGTGGAATTTTATATTAATCATATTATATTTTTCTGTCCTCAATCTTGTTCGTCTATCAACATAAGAGACTGCACAATATTTATCAGTAGTGGGCGGAGAATCCAGGGGGGGCAACATCTAATTTTATGTGCTTAAAGAGGGGGGCAACGTCTAAAATTAACTAGAACTTTAATTGGAAACTGAAAAATCACGGGGGGAGGCGGTAGAGCGTAATTTATTTCGTTTGCGAGGGGGGGGTTGTAATTAACATTTTTGATCTTTTGGCTGATTTCTCACCCCCCCCCCCCCCCCCCTGATAAATATTGCGCAGTCCCTAAGTGGTACATAAGGAAATTTTACAAAGGTCAAAAATGTCAATATAGGCGAATCCTCAATCCCGTCAATTTTTATATTTTTAGCATAGAAATTTCACTTTTAGCCCAAATAACCACTCAATATCAAAAGAACTTGACATGCCATAATCCATTTCGTTTCCATTTTAACGCAAGGTGAACCAAACAAGTGAAATTTTGTATTTCAAACAGTGTAACCATGGTCCTTTTCGGTCAAGCAATCTCACTAAGACAATCAACAATCGCCATTCGCTGCGACAACACTTTTTAAAATAGGTGTATRAAGATCAATTCTACCAAAGACATCTTACCGTTTTCCATAGCATTATTACGAAGTCCCAGTAAATGAAATCCTGGTGGCATGTTTGCCTTGAATGACGCCGTGAGTGCCTTGTCCAGTGTCACCATATCACACGGTGATATCCCAAGAGMYTCGCACATGAACATCACAGGGTCCGCATAGCCTTGGAGTAAGTGTGCCATTAAGTTGTCACGTGAAATGAATTCGAAGGGRTGGCTACCAAGGCTTTTAGTTCCCTCATGRGTCACGTGTCTAATGTTTATTCTGACCTTTTCAGCTGGGTTGTACACTAAAGGGAGGGAATAATTATTAGGATAATATTAGTATCTAAATTTATAACTAAAAGTACATGGTATGGAAATTCAATCGAGCATGCCTTGCCATTTTACAATGCTGAAGACTGAATCTTTGATTTCTGATCCTCGCCRATCTTGAATAAATAACATTTCATTGACCCCGATTCTAGAGCTTAACCCTGAACCTTTAGCCTCAAAAACTATTATCCCCTAAACTAAAAAATAACGCTAACCTCGATATAGAATACCCCTGACGTTTTGTTGTTATATTTTCGTTTCATTTTGTTGTTCTTTTTTCGTTTCATTTTGTTGTTGTTCTGTCGTTTCATTTTGATGTCCTTTTTTCGTTTCCTTTTGATGTTCTTTTTTCGTTTCATTTTGTTGTGTTTTATTTTTTGTTTCATTATGTTGTTTTTTTTTCGTTTCGTTTTGTTAGCGCTTTAGTTTTGTTTTGTTGGCGCTTTTGTTTCGTCTTTTGTTTTGTTGTTGTTATTGTTTCAGTGGAGTAATCTCTTGGAATAGTTGACAATGTTACCTGGTGCCTCTACAATCAATGTAGATTGGTTGATCTTTCTTGCCTTCACCTGGATACTTTCACGTCTGCGACCATGGAATTCAACAAAATAGCTTCCCTGACTATGGGAGGGGAGGTTGTTGTTGAATATTAGAGCGATATTCTCACGTGCCTACACAAATACAATAAGGAAAGGCAAATGTGAATGTCAACATTAACGAGAAGAAGGGGTGGAGATTCCGTCACTGAACCCCTCAGATCTCTGACATGAAGAACAGATCCTGGATTGTCAATATAGGGTTAACTATTGTTGTATCCAAATTCCAAATACAGCAGCAAATATGAATWCAGACATGAAATATGAAAACATATTGCATTGTTGATAAACATGACATAGACTTTTATCTGTACCAAACAGACAACTTGATATTTTTTCTCCCTTCAGGATCCCTGTGGAAAGATTATGGGGACTGATACCAAAGAAGAAGAACAGAAGATTCTGATTTGCCCTTCCCCCCTCCCCCTCTCACTAGAATTTAGTCACAACACAGGAAACCCATAAACAAAAGGAGAAGTCATCCACAGAACAAAGTTCTTAGATCCAAAGGTACTAGATCATGGGGACAGTTGTGTAAAAAGGTAAATTTAACATCACAAGAAAGTAGAAACCACTAATACTGAAGTTTTAGACATTAATCTGTCGTCGAAGTGAAGAGGGTACAAAAAGAGGCCAGATAGCTGAACCCATTTTGTTTTAACTTTTTTTAGACAAGTTTATCACTTCGTGTAAGTATCAGTGAAAAGGGGGAAAATCTTGACCCTGTTTGAAAAAATCCTGGATATTTCTATTTTATATAGCCATCGGAATGACTCTTCAGCGAGAAGGCCAGGGAAGAAAACCGGGTTTGGTCATCAAATTGGTGAAAGGAAACTTTTTGTTATCCTCAATGATAGTTAGTACATTGCCTAATTGAGATAATCAAGCTTACATTGCAMACCATTCTGTCTGGAATAACAGTCACAAGATGGAGTTGATCTGCAAAACAAAATACTGGATCAATGAAATCAAGGAAATAGGAAATGAATGAATGGATGAAAGTTTAAACCAAATCTGCTGAAAAGATCAGTACATTGAAATTATCGAATATCACCAATCCAGCATTCTAATTGGCTACTGAACTCAGGGGCGAATCCAGCATTTTATAAGGGGTGGGGGGGGTGCTTTTGTCAGTAATATATAGCTAAAGTATAGCAGTTGGAACTGATCATTTTTATTAGCTGGGTATTGAGCCTAGAGGAAGACAATTATGCACAATTTGACAGGAAGCAAATTGACTTTTATTGCAACGTATCTTTGAATACACTTCTCAAATAGATTGTTAAGCAGCATAGTGGCAGACACATGTTCTGTATGCTACTCTGTTTTCTCAATAAAAGTACAATAGGAGTATAAACATCAGGAAAAAAAAACATTTATACTGATATTTAAAAATTACATCATCCAAAAAGGAGGGGTGCATCTGAACCCAAAGCACCTCCCCTGGATCCGCCCCTGGAACTTACTGAGATACACCTTGATTGCATCGGATGAAGCCAAACTTTTGTCAAATTTGATGGATACTAAAACACTTAGATCACTCATTCTTGTGAAGCATGAGTGGATTGTGTTCTAAATACACCTGTTAGACTCAAACCCTTAGGAGTCCTTGTATACACAAAAAAATCAGATTATCTAGCTTTACTAAAACCACTATAATATTGAGCTGAATGATAGGAAATCACTTATAAAAATTCATTTGTTAGTTGTAGTTGAGTATATTAACTTCATCATGAATAAAATTGACAAGCAATCTTTTATAATCATGAACTTAAATTATATTCAGATTACAATGTTATTTTCCATGTTAAATAACTCTTACTAAATATCAATTACCTTTAGACCTTGAGTGATCCATAATGGAACCAAGACTTAGTTACTAGTTGCTTTGTCAGTGGGAAGTACACTATCAATAAAAAAAGGAGAAAAACAAGAGAAAACATTACAAATGTAACTTATAAGAATTAAAAATCATAAAGATAATTCAATTGCAGATATATTGTGAAGGGCTAATTAGAATAGCAAAATGCAAGCTTTGCCAAGCCTGCATGCTCCTAAAATGGAATTTAAGCACAAGTGAGCTTCTCCCAAACATCAATTTAGGCTCCAAGTTGATCATCAGTGTTTTTAAGTCAAGAAATCTAAACATTTTTAATCTAAACTTCTACTTTTTGATGGTAACCTAGCTTTATAATCCCAAGAAAATACGGCTGAGCACCCAGTAAGGTTTAATGATTATAATCAATGAAATGATAACAGAAATGTTTTATCCTCCCTTCCCACTCATCCCATGTTGTTTCTTTAGTGGTACCCTGCTGTTTCAGTGAGGTTATAGCAAACCTTGAACAGGAAGTTCAAGTCATGACTTCAATATCACGATACTCTTGAGTAATAAGGTCATAGAACGAGAGACAATTTATATGAATATGCTAATATAAAATTTACACATACTACACGCAAATTATTGAGAATTATAAAGAACAACCGCTTTTCAGCAACAATTTCTAATTTCATAACGTTGTGGCGTCTAACKTCTAACGTTGAACCGCTAGTGAAAATAGGATTCAATAAGCATAAATTTTATGCTTCGCGTTTATTTGCGTACTTGATTGAAAGGCTTTTGTCATAATTTAGGAATTTATAATCTCATAACCAAATATTGGGACCTCACGAACCGAAACGAATACTGATACATAACCTTGTAAATGCGTCTACAATTAAGGAATCAACGATTTAACACTAAAAAGCTTATTAATTTGTTTGTTCACATCGTTAACAAAGGTACATAGTGCTACAAGTTATATAAAATGATCAGTCAGAAATAAAATCTACGGAAACAATAAACATTCCATTGTCGGTCTTGAATTACTTCCGGGTGGATGTTACAATGCTATACCATATTATAAAGGAATTATAAGCAAAAATACATTGGAATACATTAACTTAAAACAAGAAATAGACAACTGATAGTTATGCTTTAGTGTTCAATTCTATCAGGAATACAGGCCCAGACAAGGCATCCTGACGAGGATAAAAGCGTCCATAAAATTTCGCTTAGTAAACACAACGCTTGAGGACAAAAACGGAAAATATTATTGTCGTTGTAACATCGCAGTAGCATGTAATACTATCTTAGGAAACAAAGAGGACAGAAGGATGCTTCTGAATCTTGTTACTAAAGCAAAAACATTTGTAACGAATCGGATATTTTGGTAATATTCAAGAAACGGCCCGGACGTAGGCCAACTCACCTTTCGCGAGCGCAAGCTCTTTGTCCAAGTCCAACTCATTGAAATTGCATCTTGATTTTGAGTGTTTGACTTCTTAATTCTTACTCTGTAATGTATAAAAACAGTGTTACATCGTAAAAAGGCAGRCGATCAAGAAGAAGTCAACTCAGCTATGCTGGAACGGCAGAAGTCCCAGGCAAGATTGTCTGCATTGTTTAGTCACTACCATATTTGGGCGAAGGTATTTTGCTCAGAAACACAGGAAGCCCAGCTAAAATCAGATAATCTTCCCCAGATGACAATTCTAATGTGATTAATTTTTTCAGATCTTTTGCTTAGCTCTTAATCAAATAAAGCAATGCAAAATCACGTTATATTTAGATTGGATCAATCATTGTAGTCGCTCACCTTCACTTTTGAATTTCTAGGGAAAGGAATCCCATGAATAACAGAACATTACGGCGGACGTCACGTCCAACGTTTCATTCAAACAGATTATTTCGGGGGGGATGGGGGGTCGGGAAGCTTAAAATGTCCGGTGTTTCTCTTTTTTATTGTGTGGTCTTCTAAAGCATTTGTTTTTATGCGATTTTAACGAAAGGCTAATGTATCCCGAAATACTTTKTTTTCTTACTCATAGGCTGCCCAACTGTTGCTTGGGAAGTTCTTAACACACGGGTCACGTGACAAGTCTATTTTTACTCTTTTCTCTCCCAAAAAAAGTCGAAATGACGATTTTCTGTAACATGATAAAATATATCGCAAGATATTCTGCCTCATTATTTTCAGTGTGTAATCTTCATTGWCGGAMAAGAAAATGAAGAGATGGCKGCACTTTGTRACCKATCGTGTGCCCGTGTGTTTGCATGCATCGATCCATCGCGTGACCAGTGTTTCATACCTTACCAACACAAGGTCGTGACGTAATAGAGTCAATTTCGTATTAGTGGGAAACGGACGGTACTGTACTTTGACCGTAATCGTACTGTAACCAAATTCTAGTGCCCCATTGGTTCACAAAAGATTGTGCAGCCGCCAGGTCCGGTAACTGTGCGGTAACAGTGCGGTAATTTCTATGAAATTGACTCTATTACACGTAATCCGAACAGCGTGCGCTCGTTTTTTCTTTACCATTTTCTTACATGAAATAAATAATAATAATAATTACAAAGAGATACATTTTCTAAAAAATTAAAATAGTTGGGCAGTCTATGGTTAACTCCTATTGGGTAATATCGTGCATGCGCATTCAAATTCTTCTGGACCCTTATATACTCGTGACCAAGCCGTGTGACCAGACCTTTCTTTATAATAGCGTGTTCTCCGTTRAACTGTTGGGGCTGGACAGCCAATAGCTGATCAAGGACTATATATGTCTTGGCACGTGCTTGATACTATCTTTCTGTAYCAATCAAAGAAGATGATCGGTCAATTTCCAAATCAATGAGAGACAAGACATACCTTCTACTATATAAAAGGTAAGGGCTAGACCTCGTCTAAATGCGAATCCCTGATATACATTGAACACTGAATGARTCCCCAATCATTTCAGCTCAATGTACTAAATATCTTAACTAATATGAAGATAAATTTTGAGACATGAAATGCCCTTAAATATGATAGCAACCTAAAGTTCATGCGGATTGTCGCATAATATACATATAGACCGGGGATGACAGACCGGGATTCCAGCCAAATTAATAAAGTCACTGATGCAGCCCTTGTGTTAAATATAAACTTACAGTATAATAAAATCAGGCACAATGTTTTGAATCAACTATCTCTTTATAGTCTACCATCCTAAAGCTTTTTTGACCTTATGTCGGTTCGGAAGCAATATTTTGTATGACTCAGTCTTACATACGTATTACGTTACCTATTCCTTTGAAGGTCACGTCATCTAAAAACATCTGTCGCTTGCTGTGCATAGGAAAACACGAGCATATTGTCCATTTAATTGGAACTTCAACATTAATGAGCAAAATTGAAGCTGAAATTGGGGTATCGAAGCGATCCTAATCGATAAAGATATCAGTCGATGAGTGATTATCGATTTAATGTCGGGAAACCAAGAAGTGACAATCAATTCATCGTCATGTTCAATTTTCCCCAAAAAAAAATCGAGAAAAAAGTCCTTGGTTTGCCTGAGGTTAGGTTTTGTGCGAAATACGGTATTGGGGCAGGAATCCCGAAACGAAAATATCCGAATCTACATGATCCTCCTGCTTCGAAACATTGTCTTTCAAAAACTCGTCTCTATAGTGCCTTTCTTTCAAAAAAGCATGCGTAATTAGGAAACCTTTTGTTATAGTTACATATGGATATAGACTAAGTTATTTCACATTCTGAGTGCTTTACCACATGTAACGTGTCGCGGTCAACTTGACGTCGACGCTTCATCAATTCAATGTCATGTGTACGACACTTTGCGGGATTTTAAGCCTGGCACCGGAGTGTGCTTAGAACAAAGGCGCGACGGAGGCCAGTATTTACTTTTTTCACGCAAATGACTTGATACGCCTAACGTTAGAACGCTAACGTACTTTAACGTATTCTCGTTTTGAGTCAATAGTGTGACTGAGTAGTACAATAGTGTACACTGTGTTGCGTGTAATCCCGACGCGTGACTGTCTTATAGTTTCATTTTTTTCCGCAAACACGCACGCATACGTAAGGTGCAAGTTATCGATATGAATTACAACATGTTACTTCTACTTCGTCTACATAATTTATTTTCAATTAAAATCAATTAAAATGTAAACATTATGCAAATTCGAATGCAGGTGCAAACAGCCAAATAAGTAAATATGTAAAAAAAAACATAAAATGAATACAGAAACAACTATGTRCATATAAGATTAATTAACATAAATAATTAATTTTGCCATTTAAACAACGCCCATGTCAACCCTATGCTGGCAGCTGTCCGATTTAACTGTCTTAACTTAACCGGCCAGTCTCTGACACGGGGCTGACCAGACAGCTGTATATTGGCGAAGAATATAAATTAATTAGAGGCAATGATATCTACACTGAGCTGCTTTAAAATATGTTTATAATATTTGGCGATAAACTGTTCCAGTCATTAATCGTTGTAGGACCAGAAACTGTATTTATAAAGTAAATCACACGATGTTTGTTGCATGACAATTGCAAATTCAGTTCTAGGTAGAAAAGGTTTTGTCAAGTTCCGCGCACGTCTGTTGGCTGTGATCGATGTCCCCACACATGTTGTCCCCTGTTCACTATAAAAAGAGGATAGGATTCGAGTTAGGATTCGAGTTAGGATTCGAGTTTTAGGATTCGAGTTTTAGGATTTGTGGAATGCAGTCTCCGGGATCAAGTCTCATTATGAGGCCACTCATTCCCAGTACYCACGCTGTCTTCTTTCTGCTTGTTGCCAAAATGGCGGAAGACACGAGGTTAGTAATGACTTATTCATATCCTTGTTATCCATCCTGCTTAAAACTACCATCTTGGTCTCATCTGTTATGACCGATCGCATCATCTGTATTATTATTTAGGATTATTTTGTTTTTAATCTAATGGCAACAAATGTAAAAATATTTTTCTAAAGAAACGTATGGGAAAATAGTACTGGAGAGCAAGCCTATAGAAAAAAAATGTTATATTTGTTATCAATTTTGAAGTGTTTAGTGTTGAGACTTGATACTTTGTCTTCTTAACTATTTTGATCCCCTCTTTCCATTTCTGGACATTATTTTTTGATAGCTGGTTGATTTAAGGTAGGTGTGGTCACGTGACCCCCAGCTGCAAAGGGCCTATTACAGTAATTAGTCTGATTTATACAATTACAATGTAACATGTCATTTCTTTTAAATATATATTTTTTTCTTTTTATACTTTTTTATAATATACGTTATTATTGAAAGTGTTCTTCTTTCCGAAAGAAATGCACGTCTGGTACGTATTTATGCTCTTCTATGAGAGACCAGATGATATCTGTTGATGTTTTAATTAGAAACAAGCATTTCTGGTTCCGGCAGTCTTACATTTTGATAGTTTTTATGATAGTTAAATTATGATTTTTATGATATTTATTTTGATTCCAAAATTATTAAACTTTGTGTGCTTTTAATGAATAAAAAAATTAAATACTTGTTAAATTATTATTACTTATGGAATTATTACTTATTAAATCGAATCCCAAAACTCGAATCCCAAAACTCGAATCCCAAAACTCGAATCCCAAAACTCGAATCCCAAAACTCGAATCCTAACTCGAATCCTAACTCTGCTGCTAGTTTGTCTCCTATAAAAAGCTCCTAATTTAACCAAATCGATCCAGAGCCCCATAAATGCAATATACTTAATGCCACATCACAGTCATCATGGGAAGCATGGGTGTCCCAGTAGTAACGCACTTGTGGCCTACTGTGGTTTGACTGTGTGAACTGGTTCTCTCTTTGGAGTGTTTAATTTTCTTCTGTTTTTTCACCCTCTGTAAAAAAAGCTATAGCTAATATTCAGTCGATCAAAAACTTAAAATGATATACACCTACTTGCGAAAACCTTGTCATAGAAAGTAGGACATTTGTATTTAGGAAAAAGGAATAAATCAAAACAGACAAAAGAAGATCACTGAGGCTGAACGCTTTCTTTTGTCTTGTTTTAATTTATTCCTTTTTGCTAAATTCAAATGTTCTATTTTCTATAACAACGTTTCTGCAAGTAGGTGTATATTATTAGAGCGGAATTCCTTATGACTGGGAAAAAGCATATC